ACATGCCGGCCTCGTCCGCTGTCGAAGTGAGCGGAGAGAACGGTTTGAAGAGGGTGTTTACACGGACAGCCCTAAACCGGAGTGACAGTCCGAAAGCTAGTGGGGGGGGGAAGGTCACACAAGCGGAGGAGGCAAAAGAGCCGAGAGGCCCCACTGAGCTCGCGCGACTACGAGGAAGGGGTTGGCAATGACGACGAGCTGGCGCGCGCGCGCTCGTGTCTCGAGCCGGGGAGGGAGGTCGGTTGGGCGCGCGCGTGGCGGCGGCGTCTAGTTTCTCGCGCGAGACGGCGTTGGGGGGCGCCAGGCGCTGTCGCTTGAACAACGCTGGGGCTGTTCCTGAGGCAGCCGCCGCCAGCGGAACGGTCAGCTGAGGGGGGGGGGCGGCGCCAGAGTGCGCTTGAGGGAGGAAGGGCTTCTTAGCCTGTGAGGGCGGGCGAGAGCTGCCGCTAGTCGCCTTGCGCGCGAGGGAGTGCGCGATGGGTGTTCCACCGCCAGGAGTTTCTACCGGCGGGGACCCCCGGGTGGATCCCTTTGGGGCTCTGCTCTGCTTCGTTGTTGTCCCCGAGCGACAGGGGAAACAGGTTTCGTCCGCCAGGAAAACCGAGCACCGCCTTGGCTGCCGCTGCCGCCCCGTTGGAACTGCCGCCGGCGGGAAAAGGGCCTGAACACGCCGGCCACGGAGAGGGCATAGTGGGGACGCGTGCGAACTTGGCCCCCACATATTCAGAGCTCTCTAAGAGACGCTTCGCTTTTACGACCGTCAAGTTTCATTTGGCCCGAGCTTCGGCGGACTGCAGCCCACTTCTTCGGGTCCCTCAGTCCGGGAAAACTTATGCCAAATAAAATGTTAGTTAGTCTTCAAGGGGTCACAACGACCCTTTGGGGGTTTTATTGCAAGAAACAAAATACAGCTGCCCTTTCTAAATTCATAGTTTCTTTGAAGTAAGTCACGATATGGTTTTTTTTCCCCTTTATGGTGTTAACCTTACAACTGCGGGCTTCTTATACAGTAGTTTTCTTTAGGGTTCCGTTATAATTTTGCGTGGGGCCCAGCAAAGGCGGAAGGGCAACTTGCCCTTCCTCTGACATGGTTGGCCAGCCTGTGGTGTTTTGTTTTGTTTTGCATTTTTTAAATTTATTTAAAATTACAAAATGAAACAAAAACGCCCAACTAACATATATAACAGAAAACGATAAGAGTTATTCACTAACAATATATAACAGACAAAACTATGTATAAGAGTTATTTACTACAAACATAACACAGGTAAAGAACATTATCACATAATGTGCTTGCCCCCATCTGGAGATAAGGTCAATTTTCTACCCCCTACGGAGTTCCCTGCCAGTGTGCGGTATTCTGAATAAAATCCAATGGGTTGATCAGTGTCAATGCTTAATGGAAAATGAATTCTGTTTCTTTACATAAAAGAGGAGTGAAGAATAGAATTCTTATACATAAAAATAAACATGGGTATAACATAAGGCAACAGTATCCTGGAAGGGGGGAGGGGCTCGAAGGTTTCTTGATATCCAGTGATTTTCCAGAAGTTGGCAAATTCACTATGAAACATTAATTTTCAGTATTTAGAATCGTTTGTGCCATTTGGGGTTTCATACCTTTTCCCACAAGGCATTCCCAATGACATTGGGATATTTATAATTAAGGAAGACCATTTGGTCTGACCATTACTTTACAGATGCTGATTCAGAGAGTAAGTTGTACCATCGCCCTAGTCCTTCTGGTTAAAAAAAACAAGTCTTGCTGCATTGATTGTATTGATTGCAGCTGTGTCTCCAAACATGAACAGGGTTAAGAAAAACAAGTCTTGCTGCATTGATTGCAGCTGTGTCTCCAAACATGAACAGGATGTTGTCATTGCATAGCAGCAGCCCTGTTACTAACATCTTCATGAGAAATATATCCTGTCAGCTATATAAGCCAATATGTTGACTAATTCTGATATCTTGATTTATACATAATCCTTTTTTAATCTACATGCCAGTTTTCAACAATGGAGATGAGTTTTGTTTGATTTCTTAAACATTTCAGTGCCAAGAGCAGCTCATCAGTCTTATTTTAAAGAGTTTATGGCTTGGGTCCAGGCTATCTGAACAACTCTATTTCCCCATATGAGCTTTTCTGGCTCCCAAGACCTTCATGAGAGGCCCTCCTCACAGTTCCACTGTCCTCAGACACATCTGGGAACACAAGAGGGACCTCTTCTGTGGCTGGCCTCACATTGAGGAATGCCTTCTCTCAGGAAGGTTAACCCTCTCCCTCTTGTCCATCTGGTGTCAAGTGAAGACATTTAACACGCCTGTAACAATTACACTGGGCATCAAAGGTAGACTCCAAAATAGTAGTTACAATTTTAAAGTATGTTTTTAAAGGTTTTGATGTTTATATCATTGTGATTGGGTCCTTTTTCTGAAGGGGGCGGACCAAGGGATTCGGCGGGAATAATCGCAGAAGTCGATGTAACAGTCAAAAACGGATTGGTTTTATTAACTTTTTCATCAAGTAACTCTGGACCAAACGGGTCCGGCAACTCTTCATTCGTCAACAAGTTATACTTCTTAGGTTTTACCGCAGGCACTACATCTTTGTTTCTTACTGTTTCTTCCCCCCAAAACGAGTGATTGCGTTCGGGCTCGCGACCGACGCAGTCAGAACTGAGCAGGAAGTCCTGCAACAAGGATGGACCATGATCGACCCCTCCAGCCTGGGTAGAGCCTTGGTAGAAAAGGGCTGGCTCCACCAAGGGTTTCTCTGTCCATCATAGGGCGAGAAGCCGAACCCACTCCCGGTTTTCATCCCCTTGGGAACTCACAAGCTCCGGTTTTGCTTATTTCTTTCGGTAAAGGCAACAGGCCATCTTCCTTCATTAAATTCGGGAAATTCTTTACTAGTGTTGCAATTTTCTCCCTCTCTGCTCCCGTCTCTCTCGTTTGCGTACTCTTCTCTTCCTTTTCCCCCTCTGTCCCTCTCTCTCTCCTCTCCTCCTTTATAACCTCATCCCATCTCCAGTCTCCCGACTCCTCCCCCCAGTCTCTTGTCCTCTCCGCTAGGAACACCTCTATAGCTTTATTATACACTGGGCATCAAAGGTAGACTCCAAAATAGTAGTTACAATTTTAAAGTATGTTTTTAAAGGTTTTGATGTTTATATCATTGTGATTGGGTCCTTTTTCTGAAGGGGGCGGACCAAGGGATTCGGCGGGAATAATCGCAGAAGTCGATGTAACAGTCAAAAACGGATTGGTTTTATTAACTTTTTCATCAAGTAACTCTGGACCAAACGGGTCCGGCAACTCTTCATTCGTCAACAAGTTATACTTCTTAGGTTTTACCGCAGGCACTACATCTTTGTTTCTTACTGTTTCTTCCCCCCAAAACGAGTGATTGCGTTCGGGCTCGCGACCGACGCAGTCAGAACTGAGCAGGAAGTCCTGCAACAAGGATGGACCATGATCGACCCCTCCAGCCTGGGTAGAAAAGGGCTGGCTCCACCAAGGGTTTCTCTGTCCATCATAGGGCGAGAAGCCGAACCCACTCCCGGTTTTCATCCCCTTGGGAACTCACAAGCTCCGGTTTTGCTTATTTCTTTCGGTAAAGGCAACAGGCCATCTTCTTTCATTAAATTCGGGAAGTTCTTTACTAGTGTTGCAATTTTCTCCCTCTCTGCTCCCGTCTCTCTCGTTTGCGTACTCTTCTCTTCCTTTTCCCCCTCTGTTCCTCTCTCTCCTCTCTCCTCCTTTATAACCTCATCCCATCTCCAGTCTCCCGACTCCTCCCCCCAGTCTCTTGTCCTCTCCGCTAGGAACACCTCTATAGCTTTATTAGCGCCCCCTTCTTCATCGTCTAGTTTGATCAATTCGCCCACAGCGCATCCTTCACTTCCTTCTTCTTTAGATGCCTGTGAGGACGGCTCACTTTCCTTCCTTCGCTCACAATCATCAAATGTTTATATTAGCCTATGTTTAGTTGTTTTAAATTGTATATTTATCATCCCTTTAAACTTACTTGCATTCATGATTGTGAGCTGCCACCAGTCCTTTCATGGGAGCAAGGTGGCATAGAAATAAAATTAAAGTATGGTGAGCGTTGACACCTAACAGGGAATGTTAAATCTCTGTGAGGCCTAGCAGAAGCATCTGTAATCCATTTATCACGAACCTGCTTTTCACATTTACATCATGGCATGATATAAACATTTGCTATATGTAAATGATGCAATATGAATTACATTTTACACTTGCTAAAAGTGTTTGGTTGGCTGTAACATAGCAAATCAATGATTTTTTTGACATTCTAAACCTGTTTCAAGCTTGAGTATTTCCTATGACTTTTCTGTTTTGTCAGCTGCCTGGCAATTGCCTTAATAGCTGGGTCTTTAATATTTTGATATGTATACCAATGATTTACATATGCCACGTGTTCCTGTCTTTGAATGCGTAGGCCAGGAGGATCCTGTTGTGTCACACTACTTGCACAACAGACATAGTGCTAGCAATTTGACTTTGAGGGCACTTGTACAAAGAGTTATAGTTAAAAGCAAAATACATATAAAAAGTGTAAAAGAGACAAAAACATGGTGACACCTTAAAAACTAACTTTTATATTTTTTTAATGTGAGCTTTCGTAGACAAGTCCACTATCAGACATGAGAGCACACAAAGAGGTATCCAGTATCTGCTTGAGCAAGTGTAAGCTGGCTTTCCCTGTCTGCTTGCATATTAGCACTTCATGCACCAGGAGGACATCCTGTGCTACAGAAGCAGGAAATCACATGTTGTATTAATGGAGTATTATAATTTGCTGGCTCTCAGAAGGATTCCTACCATACTCTTAAAGTCATATTGTGTTTC